AAGAAAAGTTCAATTCCTTTCTTCGAAGATCCCCCAAAGGATCAAAAGGAAGCTTCATCTTCCTCAAATACTCTTTCAACCTTCGTCAAAAAACCCGATCAAAAGCAAAAAGCTGAGTCCTCAACCCCTTCAAACTTCAAAAAAGCTGTTCAAAGTTCTGGCAAACTTCCTCAAATTAATCCTCCAAACTCTTTCAAATACTTTACTAAGAGTCTTTCTGATTGTGTTCTTACAATGGAAAGTTCTTGGATCAATCGTTATGGTGGTCTTGATGATTGCCTTGAATCAATTCTTCCAGAAAACTTTTGATTCATGCCATGGTTCATGCCTTCAAATATCCAAAAAACTAGAGATTATTACGAAACCATTCTTTCTTTGACTGGTTCTGCATTAATCTTTCATACTCCTGAACCAAGAGATAAATCAAATATTATGTTTTCAAAAATTTCAATTCTAAGAGTTCTGTCTTATGAAGACTGGGGACAGAATCTTTGGGAAGAAAAGAGATTAAATCTTTCAAAAATATTTTTCACTTGTCAAGATACTTTCAATTATTTTGATTACCAGAATGCTTGGTATAAGGCTCTTCTTTTTAGGCCAGTTACCCATTCTTGGTTTATCAATTTTAATCAAAATTGTAACCCTCATTTTCCGAGTTGGTTTCAAACTTGGTTCCAATATCATGGACTTGAAGAACAAATTTTGCCCAGTCTAGTTCTTCAAGGATATATATATATATATATATATATATATATTCTTAAACAGTGATTTGACATCATTTCAACCGCACATTTTTTAATAAAATAATATTACATACAAATCTAAATTTTTTTTCATTTTTTAACTACACATTTCTTCATCAACCTATTATCCTAAAATACATTCTTTCAAAATAACGTGACTCATACACACACGTATTGGAAGCAACGCATCAATAAGCCAAAATGAGAAAACAAAACTTTTGTCCTTCCTAAATTGGACATAAACGGTAGGTTTATTTATTTTCAAGAGTAAATCCATTTTCGTCATTCAAATCTTCTCCCTTTCTAGCAAGAAAGTGATCAAAATTTCAAAACAAATAACTTACTTATTTTTAATTTAGAGGAACAAAAAAAATTACTTATTAAAAAATTTTCTTATTCACTTATAAGCAGATATTTTGTAGCCAAACGTGCTCTACTAAGGAATGTTCTGGAAGCCCCTCCCAGCATCACCTCTCTATAAGCCCTAGTCTAATCTTCACTCTATGCTAAAACACTGGACATTACTGTATACATTTCTCAACTCCTAATCCACAAGCAAAATCCTCTGCGAACTCCCCGAAATTTTCCAGAATTAATCTTCAGATAAAAATGGCATCTGCAAATGCTATGTTCGCGGCCTCAATTCTCTCCTCCCCCTCAAAACAAGTATACCTTACTCATTTTTACTTTTTTTTTTCCTTTTCTTTTCTAGCCAATTCTTGAGACGGGCTTTTTAAAATACGAACATTTTGTGGATGTTTTATGCTTTTCTATACATTTCTTGATACGGGTTTTCTTATTTATATTTTTTGTGGATTTGTTGTCTTAGGGAGGATTGAAGAATAGGAGGGTGAACCAATTGCAGCAGGGACAGAAGTTTAATTACAGGCAATCCAGGAACCGGTTTGTGGTGAAGGGTGCAGCTAAGGAAATTGCTTTTGACGAGAAATCCCGGACTGCTCTTCAGGCCGGTATTGATAAACTCGCCAATGCTGTCGGTCTCACTCTCGGTCCTCGGGGTAATTCTTGGAATCATACTTCTATTGGTTATTTTTGCAATTGTAGCTCGAATTTGTGGAAATGGATTTTATTTTTGCTCCGACGCTTTCTTTTGCAAGATAGCATCTTGAGAGACGCAAAAAATAGGTGACGTTAATTATATTTCACAATCTTTTAATATATGGTTGCTGGTTATTATTAATTTGTCACTTCACTGACTATATAACCATAAGTAATGAAATTTTTTAAAAATCTTTGCTTTCCTGGATGAGTTATGATTAGTTTTCAGTAATGTAAGGTATTATGCTGAGAGGGTAAACTTTGATAACTATTGTATTCCTTTAGCGTAGCACAGGAAGTAGTTTGAGCGCCTGCTGAAAATAAGGAAATTCTCGTTTTTATTATTGATGTAACATTTTTAACTAAAAAGTAAATCTTATTCACTCTGAGCCCATAATATTAGTTCTTTATTCAAATCGCTATATATAATCATCAATTGTTAGCTCATATTAACCATTGCATTGGCTTGATAGGAATATAGTAAACACGACAGAATACAAAAGCCATGGCCTAAATTTCCTATATGTCAAAAGTGTACCTGTTACATTAACTCGAGTGATATTATATGATAAAAAACTAGAATAGGTTAAGATAGGAGATTGAACTAATATGGAATTTTATTACATGCTAGCTCGAGAATTGAGATGCTTATATTAGCTTTGTCTGATCTCACACAGGGAGGAATGTTGTCTTGGATGAGTTTGGATCTCCAAAGGTGGTTAATGATGGAGTTACCATTGCTCGGGCTATAGAGTTGCCCGATGCTATGGAGAATGCTGGTGCTGCTTTGATCAGGGAGGTTGGTCCCTTAGTTTTTATTTTTATATTTTCCTGCTCTATTCTGTTATACTCAACTGTAGTTTCATTGCTTTGCGACATATTCAATAGTACATAAATTTACCACGTCCCTTGGGCCCTTTTTTTCCCCAAGTTCCCCATATTTTCTTATTTGACAAAATGTATTACATGGGAAGGTTGCAAGCAAGACAAATGATTCTGCTGGTGATGGGACAACAACTGCATCAGTTCTTGCTCGTGAAATTATAAAACTTGGTCTGCTAAGTGTTACTTCTGGTGCCAATCCAGTTTCCGTGAAGAAGGGTATTGACAAAACTGTGCTGGGTTTAGTTGAAGAGCTTGAAAAGAAAGCTAGACCTGTTAAGGGGCGCGATGATATTAAAGGTATTGTTATTGTCATATGCCAATCACTATATTTTGGTTGGTGAAGATCACCGCTAACATAAATCTGTTGTACTAATGATTGATCTGTTTCAGCCATTGCCTCTATCTCTGCTGGAAATGATGAGATCATTGGAACGATGATTGCTGATGCAGTTGACAAGGTTGGACCGGATGGTGTTCTATCAATTGAGTCGTCGTCTTCCTTTGAGACAACTGTTGATGTGGAAGAAGGAATGGAGGTCTATTCTAATTGTCAACTCCTTTTGTTTTACATATATTTAGTTATTATATACACTGTCACAAGCTGAGGATAATGGTTTGTGATATTTATGTGTTGTGACACATGCAGATTGATAGAGGATACATCTCCCCCCAGTTTGTAACCAACCCTGAGAAACTGATTGTTGAATTTGAGAATGCAAGAGTATTAGTAACGGACCAGAAGATCTCAGCAATCAAGGACATCATACCATTGCTAGAGAAAACCACTCAGTTACGAGCTCCTTTACTCATTGTTGCAGAGGATGTCACTGGAGAGGCTTTGGCTACTCTTGTTGTCAATAAGCTACGAGGGATCCTTAACGTTGCTGCGATCAAAGCACCTGGTTTTGGAGAAAGGAGAAAGGCTCTTCTTCAAGATATTGCCATTTTGACCGGTACAAACCTCTCCTAAAGATCCAATGCTTTGCTTCTTTGAGTGCTGTTTCATGATTTCAATTTGTCTGTTTGAATTATTTTACTCAATCCAAAGGATAAATAAGCCTCCCAAGGATAATGGCTCGTCCATTGGGATCCATACCTATTTCTCCCACGAGGAAACTGTCTTTCTACTCATATTTCATAAATTGATTTGAGATTTTCCATAAAGAAAAATGGCAGAATTTCATTGATCACTAATGCTAGATAAACTTGTTCATGCAAGGGCATGTTATTATTCTGGGAACTGACAACATCGATGGAAAGGGAAGTGTATGGATAAGTTTTATTAGGTGGATCTCTAATAAAGTCTTACATACAAGATGAAGCACTTGGCCTGATTTTCTATTCACTCAACTGAAATATGCTGCTGGCTAATGTGATGTAGGCTCAAGCTCTTCTGAGCCTACAACTACCTTCATTTCACCTTTTTATGCGAGCAAGTTGAAGTACATGTCAAATTTTGATGGTCTAGAAAATCCCAGATTTTGTTGATTTAGTTTTTTAGTAGACGAGACACCGAAAGATATGCCCTATCAGAGCCAATTTTTTTCCACTTTTGTTTTTCTGCTTGTGGTGTTGGTTTGGGGCAGGTGACACATTTTTAACTTGCTTCAGTTATTCTCAGTAAATCATAAGTTGGTTTTATATTCAAAATCGCTCGAGATATTTTTACTAATTTCTAGAAAAGAAAAAAATTCTTGTGAATTTGATTTTATTGGGCGGTTCCGATGCCCTATGTTTTGGTGACGAGGAATTGAAATGCTAATGAGACACGTTTCTCCTCGATCCATAATAATTGAGGTTCCAGCCAAAATCAGGCAAGACATAACCTATTGCTGATGAGAATTTAAGAATTTTGTCAAACTCCTACTTAGATTATTTTCTGTCATGGTCTTCTACCGATGATTTTTAGTCGCAAACTATGAAATGTACAGTAGTCTGATTTGCATATCTGCTGTTTTCAGGAGCTGAGTTTCAAGCTAGTGATTTGGGTATGCTTGTTGAAAATACTGATGTCGATCAGTTGGGTATTGCAAGAAAGATAACCATCTCCAAAGATTCCACAACCCTCATTGCTGATGCTGCATCAAAGGATGAGCTACAAGCTAGGATAGCCCAACTGAAAAAGGAGTTGACAGAGACAGATTCTGTTTACGACTCTGAGAAACTTGCTGAGAGAATTGCAAAATTGTCTGGTGGTGTTGCGGTTATTAAAGTTGGTGCTGCAACAGAGACTGAGCTCGAGGATCGCAAACTTCGTATTGAGGATGCCAAAAATGCTACGTTTGCTGCCATTGAGGAAGGCATTGTGCCTGGGGGTGGTGCTGCTTTAGTTCATCTGTCAACTTGTGTCCCTGCAATTAAGGACAAGCTTGAAGATGCAGATGAGCGACTGGGTGCTGACATCGTTCAAAAGGTAAAAAAATGCAGTATTTTTCTTTGTCGCACCTTTCAATTTACGTGTTGAATTTGCACTTGGCATCTAGATTTTGCATTGTTTACTTCCACGACTTGTGCTAAGGTGCGTTAACAAGATTAGGAATTGTGATCAATCATAGCTAAAAATATTTTACTTGTTCAAGGTTTTCTGTTCTTGTTCTTCTGTGACCTAATTTTCCTATGCTTATATCTGTGGCACATTGCACCCTCTGGAACCAGTTAGGAAATGCTTCTTTCACCTTAAGAATGACATAGGATATAGAAGAGGTACTGATTTTTATTTTTCTATATAATACCACCAGATCAGATATAAATACAAAGGCATATAGTAGGGAGGCTGACATAGCACCTTACCTGCAGATCTTCTAGTTCTGTAAATTTCTATTTTTATGACTGTGATGTGGTTTTAGGCACTAGTGGCACCTGCGTCTCTGATTGCCCAGAATGCTGGGATTGAAGGCGAAGTGGTCGTGGAGAAAGTGAAGGCCAGTGATTGGGAGGTAGGTTACAATGCGATGACAGACAAGTACGAGAATCTGGTAGAAGCTGGAGTGATTGACCCGGCTAAGGTTACTAGATGTGCTTTGCAAAACTCAGCTTCAGTTGCTGGAATGGTTCTTACCACACAAGCCATTGTCGTGGAGAAGCCCAAGCCTAAAACACCTGCTGCTGCTCCCCCCCAAGGCCTTGCCATTTGATTGAACAGTTATTATATATCGGTGTAAGAAATTTTAGGGCTCTGTGTAGCTTACTTGGGTGACAAAGTGATCGAGTATTTTTCTTGGGACTTCTGGAGCTGTTTTGTATGTCTTGAACAAGATTTTAGCCGGTAAGCCAGTGGCGCCAGAAGTGTTGCCTATGGCTAAAATGTAGTGATTGGTAATAATCCATTGTTTTGATCAATTTGTCTGTATGATGATCCGCGTTTGACTAGTAAGTTTAAGTTTGGGCTTTATTTTTTCAAAATGGGAAAATTTCACATTATAACGCATTTCAAAATTAAGAAACAAGTTTTAAAATTTTAAAAATTAGATATTATTAAGTTTTTTACGAAATAATTAAGTATATATTTTATTAGTTAAATATATTAAAGTCACAATTTTATGCAATTTGATCACAAATTATTGAATTAATTGGTAACAAATTATTTTTTGATCGTGAAGAAATTTTTTTATAGGTTATAAATTATTTTAGTCATAAATAAAAAAATTTATGAGTCATAATTTATCAGTCACTCATTCAAAATATTATAGGTTATAATTTATTTATCGATCACAAATCAATAACTCAAAACTTGTTTAGCGGTCACAAATTGTCAAATTAATAGTCGCAAGTTATTTATCGGTTGCAACTTGTGTGTCACAGTCATATTTTTCAGATTATATGTTATTTATTGTTCAGAATCAATCAAATAATTGGTCACAATCAATCACATACTTGGTAACAAACATATCCATCCATCCCATGATCATCGTCACGATCACCACAAACATTACCGTCGCCACTTCAAACCTCCAACATCATCACCATGGCAACCACAACACCATCACACACCAATTGAACCCACCCAGCAACCACATCATCACACCGCTACAGCTATCATTACAATACAGACCGCCAACGTCATTACTGCATCACACCATACCATCACTACAGCAACCGCAACAACACCGCCAGAACCACCACCACGCCTCAACACCATGTTACCACCCACATTGGTCACAATCAATCACATACTTGGTAACAAACATATCCATCCATCCCATGATCATCGTCACGATCACCACAAACATTACCGCTGCCACTTCAAACCTCCAACATCATCACCATGGCAACCACAACACCATCACACACCAATTGAACCCACCCAGCAACCACATCATCACACCGCTACAGCTATCATTACAATACAGACCGCCAACGTCATTACTGCATCACACCTACCATCACTACAGCAACCGCAACAACACCGCCAGAACCACCACCACGCCTCAACACCATGTTACCACCCACAGCACCACACCACATCACCATCGCACCCACAGCACCCAACCACTACACAGCACTGTACCCATTGCACATAGTAATACAACCATCGTGATCGTAAAAACCAACACACCATCACCAATACCATATCACACCACAAAAGATGCACTTGTCGGGATGCCAAATGAAGTCAAAATATTGCATTCTTAATTTCAAAGTGCTCATTGCTTAATTTTTCACTCATTAATGGCATGCGAAGTGGTCAAATAGAGCAAAAGTTATGACATGTTAAAGTAGGGCGTTTGAAACTAGTATTTTGAGAATTTGGATAACATCCTAAAATTTGTTTGCGATCATGTGCTATCTGAATCCACAAATCGTCTATACCATGTAAAAGTTTGTTTCGAAAACTACATCGTTTTCATATCGAATGGTCCAAACGGATATCGAAAATAGATAAATATGTATCAAACGTACGTCTCAAAAAAGACGTAACTTGTTTTTTCTTATAAAAAATTCAATTAATTATTATTTTTACATGATAAATTTTTCAATATAATTTATATCGTTTCATTCGGAAGTCTTACATGAAATATGACGTAAATTTTTTAGCGTCGTTATGAATTAAATGCAATTTAAATTACTTTTGAATCATATTTGTTTTAAATTTGAATTTCATTTATTTTCTGACCTAATCTTGAATTTTATTTCAATTCATTTTATTTCTATATTCAATTTAATTTATTCAATGTTAGCTCAACATTTGCTAATGAAACAATAAACAAAACTATACAAGTATTAAAATTTATTTAATAATATTAATAATGATATAATTATACGACGTTTTCAAAATGACAAAATACATATAAACTTATTTTCATTGATATTATATTATTTATTAAAAAAATTATTTTTAAAATTTTGATTCCACAATACTAAAGGTTTGGGTCCGCCCCTGCATCGAACCGTCAATTATTGCACTGTTCAAAATTTAAAAAAGAAGAAAGAAAAAAAGGAGGAAGAAGAATGGATCTTCATGGTGGTCTTCGACGATAGTTTTCCATGTGATAAAGAAAGAGAGGGGGTGTATCCTGTAGCTGCGACGGTGCTCCAGTGCTTTTGCACATGATGAACTAGCGGTAGTTTTGCCCTTGCGAGGTGCCGTTGCGCTGGGTCATGTACAGCGATGCGCTGGGTAGTGCTGCCTGAGTCGTCGGGTCGCTAGAGAGAGAAGGTTGTGATTTTTGGGTTTTAGGTGATTATGAGAGGAAATAGTGGCCAATAGTCGGTTGACCCGGCCATTTTTTCAAAGTGGCCTTTGACCAATTAAAAAAAAAAAAAAGCAAAAATGTTTAAAATATTGAAAATCAAGAGAAATCCAAATTTACCCTTACTATTTAAAGAAGAAAGAGAAGGTAGTAAATAAAGAGAAAAAATACTGTAGCACTGATAAAAAAGGGAAAATAAACGATCCATATTTAATGTTTTTATGTTGATATTTGGAAGAAAAAAAATATGATTTTGTATACATGTGTTGATTTTTTGAAAAATGCATGATTTTTGGGTAAGGATAATAGTTTGGGAGGAGGAAAATGGAGTGGAGATCGACGAAAATGGAGTTTTCCGGCGATCTCCACAAAGGAGACGGTTAGCCCAGCTGACTGGGCCGTTTAGGCATGCCCAGATGACCCAGACGGCCCAGATGACTGGGCCGACTGGGCCGTCTGGGCGCCAGTTGACTGGGCCGTCTGGGCCAGTCAACTGTGCCCAGACAACCCAGTCAACTGGGTCGCCTGGGCGCC